AGATGGGCGTCACATTTGCTAACCTCCAGTCAACTGGGACCTCCCCGGTTAGCCAGGACTGCTGAGAGATGATGGAAAGTGGCTTGGTGAGCCCCTCCGCCAGCTCCCTCAGTAGCCTTGGGTGGATCCCCTCTGGCCCCAGAGACTTCTGTGTGTCTAAGTGGTGTAACGGCTCACTAACCATTTCCCCTTGGATTATGGGGGCTTCATTCTGCTCCCCATCCCTGTCTTCCAGCTCAGGGGGCTGGGTACCCTGAGAACAACTGGTCTAACTTATTAAAGACTGAGGCAAAGAAGGCATCAAGTACCTCAGCCTCTTCCTCATCCTTTGTCACTATGCATCCCGCATCCAATAAAGGATGGAGATTCTCTTTAGCCCTCCTTTTGTTGCTAATGTATTTGTAGAAACATCTTTTATTGTCTTTTACAGCAGAAGCCATTTTAAGTTCCAGCTGGGCTTTGGCCCTTCTAATCTTCTCCCTGCATAACCACACAACATCCTTGTAGTCCTCCCGAGTTGCCTGCCCCTTCTTCCAAAGGTCCTAAACTCTCCTTTTTTTCCTGAGCTCCAGCCTAAACACTCTGTTCATCCAGGCTGGTCTTCTTCCCAGCCAGCTCGTCTTTTGGCACATGGGGACAGCCTGTTCCTGCACCGTTACGATTTCCTTCTTGAAGAATGTCCAGCCTTCCTGGACTCCTTAGCCCTTCAGGACTGCCTCCCCAGGGACTCTGTCAATGAGGCTCCTAAACAGGCCAAAGTCTGCCCTCCGGAAGTCCAAAGTAGCAGTTCTGCTGACCCCCCTCCTTACTTCTTCATGAATCAGAAACTATCATTTCGTGATCGCTATGCCTAATATGGCCTCCAGCCATCACATCACCCACAAGTCCTTCTCTGTTTGTAAACAACAGATCCAATGGGGTGCCAGTTTTTGTTTCTCACTATCCAATTCTACTTTAATAAATTAGCCCACCACAATGTGTCATCTCAAGACGCCTACCAGAGCAAGACCATCATAGCAAACTCCATATGTCCTGAACGTTCACAGCAATAGTGCTCAGCGGATGGATGGCTGACATGCATGGGCAGGTCACCAGAAATACCTCAACACTATCACTGTTCTCCCAATTGCTAATCAGGAAACAGTCTCCTTCTGGAGAATTTAGAAAAGAAACTTTTCCTAAGGGAGGAGCAACTCCTATCACTTTCTTATGTGGGGTACACATCTATTCATGACATCTGGACAAGTGGTAGGGGAAAAGTGATTAAGAAATAAAGCCACAATGCAACAAGGCATATGCCCACGTTTTATACTTCTGCAGCTTGTGACGTATGCTGTTAAAAAATAAAAGATTATAAAGACTGAGTTGGAAAATAAAGACATCCTCCAGAAGCTGTAATCTTTGGTGGAAAAACTGCACACAATACATATGAGATCCTTGAGACAGATTCCTTCCTCATTGCACTCAGCTAACCCAGTTTAAACAGAAACGCCACGATGAAGGAACTTGAAATGAAGCGTTCCTAATTTGCTTTGCAAAGGGTAAGATTCTACCAAACTAAGCTAGAAAAGAACCTAGGCTGTCACATACCTCTCTCATTCAAAAATCAGGTCCAGAAAACTTCAAATTCCTTGACGTCTCCACTGTAATCTCAGGATGCTACACACCTTGCAGCCTTCCCAACCTCCACAGCAAGATCAAGGACAAACACCCTTTCTGTTCTTTCTTGTCTTTTTTCAAATCCTTATGAAACACAGCAAAGACTGTGGTTCTCGGACCTCAGATGGATCTACATTTGCTAGATTGTTTCATCTCTAAGGAAACCTTGGCACCAATAGCGTATTCTTGTCCTTGAGTCAGAGTCTGACGCAGCAGACCTCAGCAAGCGTACCTGAGCTGAAAACCTCAGACTTGAGAGTCTGCATCTGGCATCCCTGGCCCTGATATAATTAAATAGGAAAGATTGCACAAAATAATGACTGTCAGACAAATACCTTTCATTCCTGCACTAACCGGGCACTAATACCTGTGACGCCCTAACACCACAATATTAAGATCCATCACATTTGTTTGTTTAGTCCATTCCAGCCTATTATGTCTTTAATGCAATTGCCCAAATCCCATGATACAAAATCAACTACCTAACATAAACTCTGTTTCTGAAGATAATAAATGAGGCACAACTAGGAAAAATAGCTGCTTGCCCTCTGTTCTTTTCAAGTACTTCCTCACAGCCCTACACACAAAAGGTGACAGGAGACCCAGAGTCAGATCATTTTTCTATGTGGTTGAAGGACACATATACTGCAACTCTGAGCGTCTGCAAAAGGAACACTGGAAAAGAATGTGAAACATGAAGCCCCAGGTTGTCAAACAAACCTAAGTAATTAGATTCCTTCAGGCATGTTTGAAAACCCCTGATTTTGATAGCCCGGTTTTCAAAAAAACATTTCTGGGGGAATCAAATGCACCTTTGCTAAATACTGAAAAAGCTGCATAAGCATCGACGTAAACAGTAGGCTGTATTTTCTTATTAAAATAAATTTCAACTTCAACCCCGCTGGGAAGTTACCGATGTAGTCTGCTTTAAGAAGTTGTTAACAATCTAATATCTGTACCTGTGCCAACTTGGAAAATTTTAACAAAAAGCTTCAGAAGCAGTATGAAACATCTGTGTACTTTGGGAAGCTCATTTTCTGAAGTGCTGAATTACTGATTTGCCTTTTGGTCAGTGACACTTATAAGCATAATATCTTCACGTACATACTACACCCGCAAAAGAAACTGAAGACAAAGAGGGACTATCCTTTTAAAGGTGAGGTTCTCTCTTTCTGTTCAACCTGCAAAAAAGGCAGTTCTTTTTATCATCTTTGCAGCCTCACTCAACACAGTGCAAGCAGGCTATTTACTAAGATATGCAGGATCGTATTTTTTAAAAGGTATCCGACCTTTTGAGGCATATTTTATCAAAATCTTTTAAACACGAGTTCATTTTGCCTGTTCGAGATACATCTGCCAAGAGGAAAACAAAGCCTCATGAAGATTGAGAGTACATGTGTGGAAACCCGGGATGATTCATCATCTCTTTTGAAAGTTTGTGAAAAGCCCTAGCAAGGATTAATTTACAGATTTGTAAATCTGCCAGGAAAAAGGAACAAGTTTCTTCAACATGGATGCAATTTTTGGTATAAGAGCCTCCTGTATGAGAACTGAAGCATGTGAGTACAGCAGTAAGATGAAAAATACCAT